GCGTGGATGTGCTGTCCTGTGTCCTGCACCTGCTGAACCAGGGATACCTGCGACGCCAGGAGGAGAGGCCTCATGTCTTGGAATACATCTCTACTGAACCTACAACCCCTCCTGGGGGCCAGGCACAGATGGTTTTCCAGAGCAGGCCACTGAAGTCATCTCCAGATGAGGACAGCTTAGACCACCTGCATTGGTAGGGATGCATGTCACCAGGTGTGCAGGGAGTGTGCATCTCCACCTTGTATGGTTGTGACACATTTCTCTATGTCAGGTTGAAGCCTAGCATTGGCAGTTCGGAGGAGTTTCTTATGGCAATGCTGCAGGTGCCAAGGGGGCACACACTTAGTCCGGAGGAAGCGAAGCTGCTCATGAACCAGACAGTACAACAGGTCCAGGATGCTCTGAGCATCCCAGATGATGTTGCTCGGCACCTCCTCATGCACTGCAGGTGGAATGTGGATTTCCTGATCCAGCGTTACATGGAAAACCGCGAGACCCTGCTTATCTCCTCGGGGCTGCAAGTGCAGGATGCTCAGCCCCCTCCAAGCCCAGGGACCCACTGTCCAGTCTGTGTGAACCAGCTGTGTCCCACTGAAAAGCCACCAACCCTCTGCTGCATGCACTACTGTTGCAAGGTGAAGTTCCTCAAGTCTTTGGCCTCTGTAGCTGGGTAGGGAATATCCTGCTGCTTAGTTAGAGCAGCTGTGCTTTGTCTGAAGCTGTTACCGCATCGTTTTCCCGGAGTTCATATGTTCTCTTTTTTTAACTCCCTTTAGTGGTAATCCTTCAACTGTGGCTTAGTCTGTTACCAGTCTGGTGGTTTTGGGTACTAATGCATAGTTTGTGCTGGTTTTGTGCACTGTCTGCTGGAGGGGGGTGGGCTTCAGGGCCACACAGCCCAGGTGGTGCAGCTCCTCTTTAGTTTCTCATCTTCTGCCTTTACAGCCCTGTTGGAGTGAGTATCTCACAACTCGCATTGAGCAGAATATGGTTGTCAACTGCACCTGTCCCATATCCGATTGCCATGCACAGCCAACTGCAGCTTTCATTTGCTCCATCGTTTCCTCAGAGGAGATTATAGCCAAGGTACAGTAGGTTACTTGGTGTCAAAGCTGTTTTGGTTTTGTGAGCACAAACAGATAATCTTGCTGCTGCTTTTCCCCTTCCTGTTACTAAGACTGGCAGTGAGGCAGACCAGATTTCTGCCCAGTAGTGTCAGTTGTCTCTGATCACGGGCATTGCCAGCTGTTCAGGAAAGCATAACATCAGCAGAAGAGCCCAGTGGTATTTCCTCTAAACATACCTCCGGCAAAAAACATTTCAGTACATCATTAGTTAAGGACCAGGTGAGAGCTATGGTCGCAGTTCATGTCAGGTATCCTCTGCTGGTGTGCTAGAAGCAGTTGTTAAATCTAGGACAAATGAAGAGAAAACGTTTGAGCAATTTCATTTTATTGCTGCAACAATGGCCCCTGTGTTCTCTCTGTTCCAACAGTCTCTGGCTTTGAGCACCTCAGGTTTTTATGAAGATGACAGTAGTTACCACATCAGATGTAATCTCCACTCTTTAAGTTTGTGTGGGTTTACAGATTACTGTAAACTGGGTTTCCTGCACTGTGCTTACCTTAGTCCTCATTCAGCACGGGGCAGCAGGAGCTACTTGGTCTGAGGCAGAAGCTATTTTTTCCTCCATATTCTTTCAGGTTTTAGTTGTTAGAGCTGAATGACCTCACCATCTAATGACAGAGCTGTTGCTGTTGCATGACAGACTATTTCTGTTCTGGACAGAACGGGTGTCTCATCTGTTTTCTACTGCTCTGTTGTTTAACAGGTCTATACCAGCAATTCCTTCTCCAGAAATATTCTCCTCCTCTTCCAGCTCATTACTGTCATTATGATCCTGTATGAGCAGTCGTACAGAGAAATGAGCAGTAGTCACAAAGACTGCTCTATCTTACAGTTTTTCTTTAAGCTTGCAAACTGGCAACCATAATGATCAGGGCTACAGAAGAGCATTTCCTTCCATGTATCTTAGGTATCTTGTTTTCTATAAGAAGTGCTTGGAAAATTAGCATATAGAGAATGTATCTGGGCAGCTAGTTCTGACTGGCTTTGCAAATTCTGTTGTCACACCTATCTGAGAGCAGGACTGGATATCCTGTTGCTTTGGCTATTTTATAAAAAATCTATTATTGCAGATGATTTTAACAGATTGCTCTGATGCTCAAACTGACATGTTTTCTGTTTCCCTCTTTGCTCAGTAAGCGGTATTGCTGGAGCATTCATGTCTCCTGCAGAGTCACACATGCAGTCATAGAATGATTTAGGTTGCCATAATGTGTGGAAATCTGTGGTCCAGCCCTGTGGCCAAAATAGCCAGGTTATTGCTGATACTAAAACATACTGCATCAGATTCAGTCTTCTCTGCATCTTACAGTTTGGGTAGGTCTTGACAGTGGTAAGTTCCCCCTTATCCCCATGCTGAACAAAGCCAGCTCTCTCAGCTTCCCCATATGCATCCTGTGCTCCAGCCCCTGACTGTCTTGGTGGCCTAAGGACAACATTTTCTCTAATCTGCTGATGTCTTTCTTGTACATGGGGGTCCAAACTGTTCCCAGTATCCAATTTTGTCACCAGTGCCAAACAGCTGTGAGAAATCCCTTCCCTCACCTGCTGGCTGCCGTCTTGCTAATACAAGAACACTAGAGTTAAAACTTTTAATGTTTATATTTCTACAAAACATAAACCCTGCCATGTTTCTGAAAGAGGTTTTCTCTTCACCCGGTTTTCCTCAAGTTCCTTGGGAGTCTGTTCGTCAGAGGTAGTCTTCTGTTCTGCCTCCATAGATTCTTTGCTGGGAATGCATAGGCTCAATACCTGGATCTGGGGCTTTGCACACCAACGTGTTCAGGTTGCCTGAGAGAGAGAATGAATAACAAAGAATAAATGAGAGCGAAAATGAATGAGAGGCCTCTCTGAGCCTTTCAGTGCTTGTGGCTTGCATCTTTTCTCTCTAGTACTTGTTTTGACCTGTGTTGTCCTTTCTGTGCCTCATAGCTTTAGAGCAGCTCTCTGGGTATGCAGAAATATCTGCAGGAGGGCTATGAAGGCTACAGAGTTTCTTCTGAACTTCCTCTAGCTTTGTGTATGTTTGTACAGTCCTTACACTGCAGCAACTGAGCATAGCAAACTAAGCAACTATGTGCAGTATGGTTGCATCCCTGGGTCCCTACCTGAACAGTCCCTTACTGGTAACCAGTTTGCCTTGTCCTCTGCAGTAATGTCTGGAGGTTGTGGGCAAATCGAGTCTCCTTCCCCTTTGCACATCATTTAACTAAGCAAAAGCCTGCTGAGGAACTTAAAATCAGAGAAATTAAAAAGAGCAGGTAGAGGAAGGAGATCCTTACCCTCTACCCAGTGCTGGTGAGATCACATCTGGAGTACTGTGTCCATTTCTGGGCTCACCAGTACAAGACAGATGTAGCGGGAAAATCCAGCAAAAGACCCTAAAAATTATTTAGGTTTTGGAATACCTGTAGGAAAAGCTGAGAGAGCTGGGTTTGTTTAGCCTGGAGAAGAGAAGGCTTAAGGGTGGCTCTTTCCAGCGTGTGTAAATACACAAATGGGATTAAGGAGCCACATTCTTCTTGGTGATATCCAATGAAAGGATAAGAGGCTTTGTGGACTAATTTAAATACAAGGAATTCTGTCTAAACATAAGAAAACTTCCTTCTCAATAGGAAGGGTTAATGGGATGTTGGAAGAGTTTGGGCAGAGAGGCCTGTAGTCTCTATCCTTGGGTATGTTCAAAACCCAGCTGGACACGGTTCTGAGTAGCCCTGCTTTGAGCTGGAGGAGTTGGACTCATTTTTTAATCTCCAGAAGTGCTTTCCAGCCTCAGCTATTCTGTGGAACAAAACAGCCTCCAGTTATGACACGAAGGGTGGAGAATTTACACAAAGGGAATAAAAGAGTAAACTAACTTAGTGCTGTTTTGTTGTGAGCAGTTTTTCAGTCAGCTGTAGAGCCCGGAGGCAGCAGACCCCAGTTGTAAGGCCTAACCATGCAGCTTCTCTGCCTTAAATCTCCTTACTTGCTTCTTATTACAGTATGAAAAAGCCCTCCTCAGAGGTTATGTTGAGTGTTGCTCCAACCTGACATGGTGCACCAACCCTCAGGGTTGCGATCAGATCCTACTTAAGGATGGATTTGGCTATGGGGCAGCCTGTTCCAAGTGCTCCTGGATATCCTGCTTCAACTGCAACTTCCCAGAGGTGAGGCTGAGCTGAGTCAGGGGCAATACTGTTTTGGGTTTGGCACACACCCTTCTGCTTCAGTGTGGTTGACTGTCTGTCTTTTTCAGGCCCATTATCCTGCAAGCTGCAGCCACATGTCTCAGTGGGTGGATGATGATGGGTACTATGAGGGAATGACAAGTGAAGCCCAAAGCAAACATCTGGCTAAGCTCATTTCAAAGCACTGCCCAAGCTGCCAGGCTCAGATAGAGAAAAACGAAGGCTGCCTGCAGTGAGTATCAATTTTTGTTTGCTAATGGAGACACGAGAGGACAAAGACATACAGTTAGGTTCATTGTGCTTGCTTTCTGTTTTTTCCTGGGTTGTCGAGTAAGAGTTGTAGCGGGTCTTTTTTATAGCTTTAGAAGAATGAGTGATTGCTTTTAATTCCTGTGAAAAGCAAAATGTTCCCTGGCATTCAGAGTTAAATCCATTGATAGCTCTGGAGTAGAACCAAAACTCATTTTGCAGTAATTTTTTTATAGCACACCCTTGTCTGCTCTCAGAAGCTGCTGCAGACACACAGAGGTGCAGGTTAGAGGAGTGGATAGCTCAGAACCAGTTTTTTCTTTCATACTCACCTATTCCCATAACCTTAAACAGTTTTCTTTTAACTGCCTCTTTTGAATTGGCTTGTATCTCTGGCAGCTTGTTACATGACAGGGAAGTGACGTCCAGCCTTGAAGCTAGCACTTAGGAGTTGCCATGTGTTTCTTGCACTGGCACAGTACTTAGTGCCCAGTTGTGACTTGTCCTCACATGTTTTGTGTGGCCTTGGGGCTGTGCAGTGCCTTTCTGCACTGCTGAGTGCTGCGTTACTGAGGGAAGAGGCGAGGTGCTCATGTGCATCTTGCTTCCAACTGTGGAATGCTTAGTTCACCCTTCAAGTACTTGGTAAGTTTGTAGTGTGAGATCGTGCTTCCAGTTTACCCAGCTCATTTTTGGACAGACAATGACTAGTTTTTAAGTATCACCTTCTTCCAAAAAAGGCTTTAAAAACACCTGCAAGGAAATGAATTAGTGATACGAGTACTAAGTGAATGGGAATGACTGGGTTGCATACTCCACCCCTGTGATGTAGGGGAGCAGTGGGAGAAACTGTGCAAGTGGCTGTTAGGACTGAGTGATTCCCATTGTTCTTTTTCCTACCGTGCAGTATGACGTGTGCAAAGTGTAATCATGGCTTCTGCTGGCGTTGCCTCAAGCCCTGGAAGCCGACTCATAAGGATTATTACAACTGCTCTGCTATGGTGAGTGGTTTGCTGTATCCACTTGGCTCATGCTTGTGTTCAGATGCACCTGGCCTCTCAGATGGATGGGTGAGGATCTCCACTTGTGCCCTTTACTCTGGACTTTGTGGAGTTGCCAGTAATATTAATAGTGTTGTCAAAGTCTGTATGTGTGGTAGTCATTTCCAGGCAACCCTGGTACTTGAGGGAAATTGCTACAGGTTACTTGTACCTTTCCTTTCAGGTGAGTAAAGCAGCTTGGCAGGAGAAGCGTTTTCAGGATTACAATGAGAGATGCACTTTTCATCATCATGCAAGGGTAAGGCCTCCTCCTTCCTTGGCAGACATTGACTCTTTTGCCTTAGCCCTGTTGAGCAGCGTAGTTTCTGTTGTATCTCAATATACATTACCTGAAGCTGAGAAGCAGGCTTCAGATCCAGGTGGGAATACCTAGCCATTTTTTTGCTCTGACATAAGGGGTGGTTCTTGGCCTGCTTTCTTCTGCCAAGTCTGTTGTGGGCTTGGAACACCTAATTTGTGGTGGTGGTGTGCTCAAACTGATGCAGTGCTTTGAAGCAATGGCAACTGAAGGCTCTGGCCCGAGCTGAGATACTGTGAAAGGCTGAAGTGACAGCACAGTAGAGATGTCATAGATGGAGGCAGTAAATGCTGTCCTGCTGCCTGCATCTTCTGGGATAGCACTTCAGGATGCTTGGCGATTACGTGTGTGGAAGGTGCTATTTTTCAGTCTTGTGGAGCTGGACATTGACTTTTTTTCCCCTCCTTTGGTTATTGCAGGAATTTGCCATGAATCTGAGGAATAGCATTTTTTCTGTCAGAGGGATGCCAAAAATTAGGACTTTGACCTTTGTTCTTGATGCCTGCAAAGTGCTAGAACAGGCACGGAAGGTAAGGCTGGATAACAGGGTTGCTGAGGCTTAGGTCTAATTCTACTGATGTATTTTATGCCTTTTTTAAAGTGAGGAGATGCCAACCTTGTTCTGCTCAACAAGGGGAGACAGAAAAAGCGTGAGGGGAGGAATAGCATCAGGACAGGGAAGAGCTCATGTCTGCCTTTCCCTGCTCTCTGAGTTGGGCTATCTGCAGTGTTTGTCACAGTCAGGTCATAGGATTTGGAGCTTAGCTCATGCTGACACCATGAAATTGACACAAGGGTCCATATTTAGGGTTTTCACATATTGGCTTGGACAGTTCCAATTTGAAATGCCCCGGTGGTGGTACTTGATGCTATGTTACAGTTAAGAAGTCCCTCTTGATGCTCATGTTAGTATTTTCCTTTCTTAACTTAATTCCATGAGCCATAGGTGTTTTGGGAGCACTGAGCTACCTATTGCATGCCCCGATAGCCACATTATGAAGGATTTGCAGTGCAGCCACTGGATGCGTGCAGTATGCCCGTGGCAGCATAGGCCTGCACTGTCTTCTATGCCCTGAAAATAGGAAGGAGGTGGGAATTGCCTTTGTGATACTGCCTTTGCAATATATACCTTGCTTGTGCAGGCAGATTTGATTTTGAGAGATGCATGTGTAACAAGGGTGTCTGACCCTATTTTGTGTTTTCAGTATGGTAGTTCCTGTATTTGCCAGGATACAGATCAATGTTGCTTGCTGATGCTGGCTTTTCTGGCCCATTTCTTTAAATGGAAACAGTGGTCTTGTTTCCTGCTGAGTGCCTGGATGGTTTTAGAGGTCATTCATTCATAGTAAGAGTTTGCCACTTGTTGAAATGAACCTTGCACCATGCCTGCTTTCCTTTGGCCTCAGTTCTCTCAGTTCAGTGGCGCTTGAGTTCAACATGGGCTGCCCAGCAATGTGTACATTCTGTGTGCTTGTTGTTTTGACTCTGCCTGCTGGTCAGTCACACTTGTTAGGCATTTACAGTCTGCGTTCTTGTGATGGTTTGCAGGTGGGAGCAATCAGTTATTTTAGACTTCAGTACAAAATAATTACACATTCATTTCCAATCCTACCAGGAGCTCTAGGTAGCCTGGCATTGCTGTCACTTGGCATAATGGTTCATTGGGCTATTGCCACAGACCAGAAGTGCTGCCAGGCTTCTATCAGCCACTGATATGTAATGAAGTCTGGGAGGGTTTGATGCTACTTTCTTTTTGCCCACTCTGAAGCTTATCATCAAGCTTACAGCATGATCTGTACTGCTCCAGGTGCTGGCCTACTCCTGTGTGTACAGCTACTACAACCAGGACACTGAGAGCATGGATGTTGTGAAAGAGCAGACTGAGAGCCTAGAGCTGCACACTAATGCTCTGCAGATCCTTCTGGGTAAGTCCCACAGTCTCTCAGCAGTAGAGGCTAGCATTCTCAGCTACATGGCAGTTCTGTGTTAGAGTGACAGCATACACTGTATGCGTACAGTATTCCTAAGGAGCTGTGACAGGCTTATAATCAGAGCCAAGGGATGCTGTCTCTGCTTAAGAGTGTGGGAAGCAGCATGACTTTGTTGGCCTTGAATTGCAGAGGAAACCTTGCTGCAGTACCAGGACCTGGCCTCTTCTCTTCAGCTCCTGAAAGCAGAGCATTTCAAGACTGGTTTGGAGTTGGTACACCAGATCAAGGAGCGACTCTTTGCAATTCTGTGGCATTCCACACAGGTGAAGTCCACATCCTCTTCAGTGGCTTGTGCTCTGGTTTTGCTTGGTCTTGGGTAAACCTAGGAAGGGGCTTGGTCAGCTGAGGGCATGGACTGTCAGTGCTGTGTGTATGTAGGAAAGGGCTCTGCAGCACAAAATACACTCCAAATCGCATATTGTCTCTTTTGTGTCTGTTCTTCTGTGCTAGCAGGATTTCCATGTTGGGCTCCAGACTTCATCAGATCCTGGTCAGAGAAAGGTGAAACTCTCAAATGTGCCTACTTCAGCCCCTGCCTGTGTAGGGTGAGTTTTCTTAGTGGGGTAACAAGGAGAGGTGCAAAGTTGCTCTCCCTGGACTTTCTTGGGTTTTTGTGTAGAGTCATGCTTTTTCTTCAGGAGTGTATCAGAGATCTAGGAGGTGTCCAGATGAGAAAACCAAGAACAGAACATCTGTGGGGGGAGATGTAAGGGAATGGAGAAGTGACACAGCTGTAAAACAGTGTGTTGAGAGGTGAAATGGATGGTTGGTTGCCTGTCCTAGAGCACTGAATGGGCAAGTGTTAAGGTTGGAAGGCGGTGAGTTTGAAACAAAATCCATTCCTGTACCACATGCTGTTTAAACCAAGAAACACAACTGGCATCTGCCATCCCAGTGTGACCAATCCCCTCTGACAGCTGCTGTGTTTCCAGGAGCTGAGCAGGGTTCTGAGTGTTGCAAGAAAGAACGTGTGACAGCTGACTCAAGACACTCTGTTTCAGAGCTGGGTTTCTGGTCTCCTTGGGCTGAGACACCAGAGCTCTGGTGGCAGACGGAAGCTTGTTGGCCCAGTCACAGGTGGCTCTGGGACACAGTCCTGTTCTGCATACGTGGAGAAGGCCATTTAATCACCACCTTATAGGTGCATGTGTGTGGCTGCTGTGTGCCTGAAGCAAGGCTTTGGATGGGGATGCTGAGGTCTTATAGTAGGGAAGGTGAGGGTGGTGTAGGGGCTGCACTGTGGTTGCTCTGGTCTGATCCTGTTCTTCTCAGCTGGGGCTCTGGTCTGATGCTGTTCTCCTCAACAGGCCAAAATGTACCATCTTGTGTGATGATTCCAACAAAGATGAAGGTGACAAAGAGGTTGAATACGAGGAGTATGAAGATGAGGAAGACTATGATGACGATGATGACCTTGATGAAGACAACTTTCTGTTCGGTGATGAATCGGATAACCTTGATTGTGACTCCTACTTTGATGATGATGCCTATGACTAGAAGTCACCCAGCCTGGACCTCTGCCTCTAACTTGTCTCGACCAGTTTGTATTAGTGTCTTTCCTCAAGGACAGGAACTCTCAGGCAGAGCCAAGAAGCATCTCCTCTGAGGGCTGCTTGTTTGGTGATGTGCAGAAACACTGCTCAGGACAGACAGGCTGTTACTGTGGCCACCTCTCTCAGAAAGCCATCTTCTTGCCTTGCTCTCTTGTCTCAATTTCTGCCCATAGGTATCTAATTGAGTTAGAAGGTCACAGTTCAGCTGCATCGTGAGGATTGCTTGCCACCTGCTAAAGGACTGTTTGGTGTCCTTGGAGAAAGGCCAGGCACAGGTGAGTGTGAGACATTGTCCTAGTATCACACTGTCTAATCCAGCCAGCGTCTAGAAATACTGTAAAGCAGTGTTTGCACTCAAGTCAAAGCCTCCCAGCTGGAGCTGGTGGGATTCCCTCCAGAGCCACAATGGATGAGGTTCAGTGCATTCCTCTTGTTTGCTGTTTATGGGAGGAGCTGCCTTCCCTGCTGTGAAGCAGGATGGGCTGCTATGAGTGGCACAAGTTTGCAGGACTGTTTTTAAGTGTATAAATACATGCACGTGCACACACAAATATAGCAAATCCTATACAGGCAGAAGTTGTTCAGGTAATGCTTTTATCTTTGTAAAACAGAAAACCCTGAGGATAAAGGGCTGAAAAAAGTTCAGTTTTAAAAAAAGAAATAATTTTCTTCTAAAAAAAGCCTCCTTGTTGTCTGTGGGGAACATGGGTGGGAAGGGAGAGGAGGGTATTCTCAGAGTGAGGAGGAAGTGACCTGAATGTGCTCATCCCAGGAGTTACGTGTGAAATTGGTGTGGGTTTGGGATCCTTGCCCAAGGATCCCAGCTCCTGGCTGTCTGCAGAGTGGCTTTGCCTTCCTGGACAGTTCAGGGAATGGGAAATAATGGGAACAATAATGGAAAAGAGGGCTGTTAGCTTAGCCCTGTGTCTACGCTGTGGAACTTGCAGACTGCATGGGATGCAGGCAGTCTGGAGAGCTTTAAGCCAAGACAGGGCCAGAACAGCCACGGGCCTTGTCTTTGGTATAGAGGCAACGACTGGTGAAACAAGGACTGAGTGTGGGAACAGGGCAGAGGAGCGTCAGCCGTGTTCCCGGTAAAGCAGTTGCACTCAGCGGGGAAGTGTGAACTGCGCTGGGGAGCGTCTGCTGCTCCCCCACTGCCTCTTCCGCGTAGCGTAAGACTGCGCTGCCATCCCGTGGCCTATTTGCGGTACTGCAGGTGTTGAGGGC